CAAACCACTAGACCCATTTTATTTATCCATTGCTTTTGATAAATCACATTAAGTGTTAGCACCAGGGGCGGATCAAGAAGGGTGGCATGGGGTGGCAAGTGGCACCCTAAAATGATCCCTTGCCACCCCAAGTGCCACCCCAGTTTTGCATATGACAGTGTTGTTTATTAAAATAAGATAGCATTAACAGTTTGAGCGTAGTTACAGTCAATAGTGAATATAAATATAAATATGAATGTATTGCATAGTGTCAAAGAGTCAAAAATTGTATTTCAGACCTTTTTTCAGACCAAATTAAAATAACGTGCCGTTATACAGCGTCCAGAAGATGGTCTGTGTATTCAAACCCACCTCTGGCGCTGGTGCCCTACCCTCATTTTTAAATGCATATAGACACTGAGAGTTTTCAGGAGGAGCTGGGCTGCTCTCTGGCAGGAAGCACCATGCCCTCCTGTGTTTTAAATGCACTTTGGAACAGCAGGCAGCAACACTACATATGAGCAGGTGGAGGGAGGTTTGGGGTCTTTACACACCCCCGTTCCATTAACCGTCGGGGCTGGGGGGCTGGGAGGAGGTGCTGGCCGTCAGATTGGGGTGCTGGGATGCGGAGCCTCCCTGCTACTGCAGATAAGGAGGCGGTCTGCTTTCCTCCACCCCAGAGAGAAGGGTTGAATCTCCTGGGTCTGGGTGCAGTTTACCCCTCTGGGGGCAGGGGTACCTGGACTTGGGATATGGAGTATGTTTGGGGAGTGTGACTTTGTGTACAGTGTCTATTTGTGTCTGTCTCCACGTCAGGTGAGTGCCGAGTATTTATTTGTGTATATGGGGGTGGGAATGCACGTTTGTGTCTGCGTGCGCCTGTTCATCTGTGTCTATATGTCAGGTTGGGTCTTAGACTCCACCTCTCTGGGTACATCTCAGGCTCTCCGAGGAATGGAGGCCTATCTCCCCTCACCACACTCCCTGCCGGTGGTTGATGCCCTCAGACGTTGGTGTGTTGGTGGTTCTTGGTGCCTGGGGCTGGGCGCTCATATGTACCGACTCACTCCTGGTGGCCGATTGGCGGGGCCTGGCGCCTGTGGCCCGGCTGGGCCCCTTCCGGAGGGTGGGGTGCCCTCTGGGCTCTGGGCCTGAGGCCTGGTCCTCTCTGGCACAGCTGGCTGCCGGCAGAGCCGCGGGCACGCCACTGCAACCCCTCTCCTCCTTGGGTCCTCATACTCTGGGGCCTCTGGATGTCTGGACCACACAAAGGCAAATGTGTCCAACAGTTAAAGGTATAAGAATATGGAATTCTCTTCGAGATAATCTCAATCTCAAATATGCACAGTTTTAAAATGTGTTAAATACTTAAAATGATAAATCAGTATGAAGAACACAAAAGTAATTTGGGCTAAATGTGGAAGGAACAATATTTCTTTGCCATCTAGTAGTGTTGTATATTGTTGATTATACTGATTTATTGTTTAGTTTAACATGTCTTGATATGTAACAATGCAAGAGTGTTTTTGGGGTTGTTGGCACCCTCTTGTAGGGATAATTAGATTTCAGATAGGGGGCAGGTGCTAATAAGAATTTGTTCTTCTTCCTGTTCCTTTTTCACCCATGAGTGCAGTGTTATATTAATGGGAAAGAGGATTTGTATGTAGGAAATGAAATGCAGTTTAAAGTAATAATACTTTTATAAAACTGTAACTCAGTTACTTTTTTGAAGAACTAGAAACTGTAACTAATTACTTTTGTTTTTACAACACATGTAAAAACAAACACACATTTAGTTTTGTTTTTTTTATTATACTGCACTACAATTATACTGCTAGATAGATAAATCTCATTCCTCTCAATGGCCTCAGAGCAGTGAAAGGCAGCTTATACCGGTAAATACCAGAGTTTCATCCACAATGCGCATGTGAAAACTATGGGGGGAAAAAAGCTGCTGGTGTCTCAGCTTGCCCAGCTCAGTCAGTGTAATCGGGAGATGGACACGCCCACATTAAAGTGAGAGTCTGCCAGAGATTGAGGTAATCAGTTTTCATCAACAATAGCAGACTGTGGCCACAAGATGGCAATAATGTAAAGGTTAGATGTATCTAAGGAGAAAGATTGCTATACTTTGGTCATTTCTTCTCTCTGCCCCTGAAGGAAATATTGTTTTTCCTACTTTGTTCTTCCTGTCTGGATGCGCGCTGCACGCCTGGTTGCACACATTATTTCAGCAGTACTTTGAGCTTGGAGCGGAAAGGCAGCATGTTTTTTGGGGGGAAAGGTTTTATTCATTTGATAATATAGGAATCATAACACACACATACATTAAGCAATCAAATAAATCAGCAAATGAATCACTTTGGCTGCTTTATTTCTGCCTTGATTATGGGTGAGATTGTGTTTATGAAAATTAGGATATGACATGTAAAACTTAGTTATTTCATAGTATTTCCTTAACTCTTAAGCCACCATGATTTAATTGGCTTGGTTTGTATTTACCATACCTCTACTAATTCTTTAAAATTTGATAAAAATCTAGCTCCACGGGCACGTCACTGCAGACCCCTGTGGCTTCTGCTACCTGGCTGCTGTGTGACCCCTCGTCTGGGGCTCCACTCAGCTCCTCAACCGAGGGTGACAAGGTTGCCCCTCTGATGGTCCTCCTTGGGCTCTTGCACTCTGGGGCCTCCATCTGCTGCTTCATGCCCTGGGGGATGGGGTGTATAAATAAGTTATGCTAGCTTGGACACTGCTAGCATAATGGACTGTGTTTGTTTTTTTTGTTTGTTTTTTTTATAAATGGGGCTCCCACACAAACGCCCCTGCCCCAAAAAAGGCATACCTTTGACGTTGCATGACGAACACCGTATTCCTTGTCCACATGTAAACGCAAAAACTGAGTTTTCGAATATCTCCAACCTGACTGGAGTGGGTTTTTTGATAATGATAATGGCAACTATAACAGCACGAACAAGTCCAAGGGAGCGTACTCCACTCTACATTTAATATGTAGTTATAAGGGCGTAATAGAGTGCTGTGCAGAATTCTGGAGCCACATCTCATTTTTCTGTTAGAAGTTGTCAATTAGTTTTGCAGCTGGTATAAAATAGTGATTGCATGCTCCTACTTAACATTCTGGGAGGCTAAACAGTTGTAATTTTCTTTTGCCATTAGTGTTAAAGAGGTTGTTTGGTTTGTGGAAGTTGTCCAACTCAGCTTTCAAGTCTGGATAGACAATGGTCAAATGAAAGTTAATGTGTAGGTTTTCTATACCTGTTTACTTTATTAGGCAAGTCTGTTTCCTGTATCAGGAAAAGTTTATCAGATAACCACTATATTAGGTTCAGCTTTGACAAACTAATCAGTATCCTTAATAAAGCAGGGCATTAAGTCAGCTCCATTGTCCAGGAAAGATTATTTAACTCCAAGGCCTTTCAGCTTTTCAGGCACTTCTGATCCCATTTATGTGTTATTTACATTTTTTAAAGCAAATTCAACAAATGCAGCTCCAGTTTCTGATTCATTGGGTGCATCCTATTCTGCTTTTACATTAATGCATGGTACATGTTTTCATAATACAATGCAGTTGAGCTGGGTCAATAAAATAAAGCTTCAGACATTTCAAATGTTTATAGCAATGGCAGGCAACAACCTTCAAGCTTTCAGCATTGAAGTTTTTAATAATTATGTATGCCGGTGTGCCCAGCCACTATATTAGATACATCAGTTGCAGCTTTGGCACATATCTCCTCCCATACAATTAGTCATAGGGACATCATTCAAATACTAAAATGATGAACTTAGTTTTGTGACATATGCTTCTGTAGACAGAGTTTTGGCATATATTTTAAATCTCAAAGATCACAAATGCCTGCAGAAAATGAAAGACTTCATATGTCAGTCACAGCAAGTGGTATGATAACTCAACTTTGGGTTTCAAGCCAAGCTGTTCTTTCTGCCAAGTTTCTCTTTTACATCACAGTGGGTTCTAAGGAAATTTGAGGATGTGTCTTATCTAACACGTCCTTTAGTTTCCATAGAACTGAAGAATGTTTAAAGAGGTTTTTATCTCAGTAAACCTGTGTGAAGTGTGTTATTCAATAGGCTGTATTTGACTTTTGATGGTATTTTTGCACATGCCTGGATTACTTTACTAATGTTTTGAATTTAGTTTTTTTATTGACGTTTTTTCCTATTTAGATTAGGATCTTCTTGTCTGTTTGTTTTTAGTTCCCTTGGTCTTTTCTATTTAGTTTTCACACACTGTTGCTGGTATTTTGGCTCACTCCTCCAGATCTCCTCTAGAGCAGTGATGTTTTGGGGCTGTTGCTGGACAACATGGACTTTCAACTCCCTCCAAAGATTTTCTAAGGGGTTGAGATCTGGAGATTGGTTAGGCCACTCCACTCCACCCTAAAATGCTTCTTATGAAGCCACTCCTACGTTACCCAGACGGTGTGTTTGGGATCATTGTCATGCTGAAAGACCCAGCCATGTTTTATTTTCAGTGCCCTTGCTGATGGAAGTTTTCACTTAAACTCTCATGATGCATGGCCCCAGTCATTCTTTCCTTTACACATCAGTCATCCTGGTCCCCTTGCAGAAAAACAGCCCCAAAGCATGATGTTTCCACCCCCATGCTACAAAGTAGATATGGTGTTCTTAGGATGCAACTCAGCATTCTTTCTCCTCCAAACACGGCAAGTAGAGTTTTGGCCAAAGCGTTCTATTTTGATTTCATCTGACCATATGACATTCTCCCAAGCCTCTTCTGAATCAACCAAATGCTCTTTAGCAGACGGGCTTGAACATGTACTGGCTTAAGCAGGGGGACACGTCTGGCACTGCAGGATTTGAGTCCCTGGCGGTGTATTGTGTTATTGGTAACGTTGGTTACTTTGGTCCCAGCTCTCTGTAGGTCATTCACTGTGTGGTTCTGGGATTTTTGCTCACCATTCTTGTGATCTTTTTGACCCTCTGGGGTGAGATCTTGTGTGGAGCCCCAGATTGAGGAAATTATCAGTTGTCTTGTACGTCTTCCACTTTTTAATAATTGCTCCCAGAGTTTACCTATTGCAGATTCAGTCTTCCCAGCCTCTACAACTTAGTTTCTTGTGTCCTTCGACAGCTCTTTGGTCTTGGCCATAGTGGAGTTTGGAGTGTGACTAAGCTTGTGGACAGGTGTCTTTTATACTGATAATGAGTTCAAACAGGTGCCATTAATACAGGTAACGAGTGAGCTGGACGATATGGAAGTGAAGTTGGACTTGATTGATTTGTTTCGCACGACCTCTGTAAGTGGAAGTTATCGGGCTGTTTTTTGGTTTTTAAGGCAGACCCCTTTTTTTTTTGTCATTTTGGTCCACACTCCATACCAGTTGGTGGCGGTAATGCACCATTTTGCTGTTTGCCAACCACCAGTAAACCCTATACAGAAGAAGAAGAAGGTAAGGAGTGGAGGACAGAGGATCCTCTAACAGAAGAAGTTACAGGTCTGTGAGAGCCAGAAATCTTGCTTGTTTGTAAGTGGCCAAATACTTATTTTACACCATAATTTGCAAATAAATTCGTTAAAAATCAGACAATGTGATTTTCTTGATTGTGATTTACAGGCCTCTCTCATCTTTTTTTTTTTTTTCCAATTTTTATTTTTCAAATGCCAGACAGTCATAAAGCACATAGGTACACATAGAAAAGATAGTCTTTTCTTTCTCTCTCTTTTTTTTATAACATTCAGAAACATAAATAACATAGATGGCATGAATACCCCCCACTCCCTCATAATAATTTAAAGATGAATATGTTACAGAAAGATGGATTAACCCGTTCAAAAAACAAACAAACAAACAAACAAACAAACAAACAAACAAAACAAACAACAACAAAAATCAACAATAAAGTGCTAGTACTTATCCTTATAGATTAATATTACCATTAATCAACATTAGTTAATATTAATATTGGTGACTGCATGCTCCTCGGTCAAAGCAAATTAATAATGCTGGTATATCTTAAATGAAGTACTCTTATGAGGTGGTACTGCCAGCAATAGCAGGAAAATTTGTGCACGGTCATGGGTTGGACTACAAAAAGATTTCTCGTGCTGGTAACTTTTCTAAGTATTTAAGTAATGGTTTCCAGTAAGTAAAAAATCTATCCGACGAGCGTCTGAGGGAGAATTGTTTGTATCTTCTCCAATTTTAGAAGTCCAGACTTTGTTTAACGGTGGCTGAGATGATTTCCACAACAACAAAATTCTTTTTCAGGCAATAAGAGAAGCAAAGGCAATAAGGTTATTTTGGATAGCTGTGATACGAAGGTTATTTGGTGGTTTGCCAAAAATAGCAATATGTTGAGTCGGAGTTAGATTTATACCTAATATATCTGAAATTGTTTTGAAGAATTGATGCCAAAATTCATACAGCCTGGGGAACGCTCAAAACATGTGAGTAAGGTTGCAAGGTGTCTGTGAGCATCTATTACATTTATCATCACATTTATCTGGATATAATTTTAACATTTTTTTCTTTACTGTAGTGTAGTAGGTGGAAAACTTTAAATTGTATTAATGAAAGTCTGGCACAACTAAAAGACGAATTAATGGCCCCTACAGCTTCCTCTCAGAAAGACGCATGTGGAGTTGTGACTCCCATTTCATCTTGGTCCTATGGTAAAGAGATTCGCTAGGTGGAGAAACTAGTTTGTAAAGGTAGGAAATATGGCCCTTTGACAAAGTCATCTCTCTCACATCTTTTTAAGTGGGAGAACTTGCACAATTGGTGGCTGACTAAATACTTTTTTGCCCCATTGTATCTATAGAGTAACTTCTTATTATACTCATAGATTTAAATTACTCAAGTATTATAAGTTGTTATAAAGTATTATAAGTCGTTATGCCAGAGTGCCAAGCATGTTTCAGAGAAATTCTTACAGTTGCATCCTTCCAGTTCCACAAAATGCCATTACCATGGTGATTCACAGATACGCAATTGAAACAGCTGGGAAGAACTGATAGTTAACAGCCTACTCTCTGGGATTTTGATAATGGATATACAGTATGGGATATACAAACATGCCAATATTTTTGAGCCAATTATCTGTGCTTCAGCAAACTGGCATACACCTTTGGTTAAATTTATAAGGCACACTTATGTGGCTAATAAAGTGGCCGCCCATTTTATTATGTATGCCATTGTGCCTAGCCACTACAGCTGTTAACCTGTGTACCCAGCCAAATTATTAGGTACATCCATGGACAATTTATCAGGTACAGGCCTTGCTACTTTTTTAAGTGCCAATTCTCCTCAGCTTTTTTAGCTAACCTATTTACTTTCAACCTTTTAGCACAGTAACAAACCCATTGCAGTTTCTCCAGAAATTGCATTGAGTAATATTTCTGCTTTTGTATGTACACACAGTTGTGGAAGGAATGTTTACCAGTGGCTTTACTAGAATCATTTAGTGAAAATCCAAGTAAACATAGTCCACAAAATCACAGTATCAAAGTGAAATGTTGCGAGGCCATAGTATAGGCTGTCTGTTGGCTGCCCACACTAAGCAGATCTAGCCCCACAGTTGGTCCAACAGTGCAGGGCATGGATGTGCCCTACATTTCACATCGGTACCAAGGCCCAGAATGTTGTTAAAAAATAAAAACAAACCAACTAAAAAACAAGAAGAGCTACTTTCAGCTATTCCCTCATTCACAAGGGGTTACAACAGGTAAGCCATTAGGTAACCCAGCTGCCTGCACATTTTCTTTGAAGTATACTATTGCTTGCACAACCCCCCAAGGGTTTTATGTCTGCTTCCAGGGAAAGAGACTTCAAAGGGTTCCTTCACATATTATGCAAGGTTCTTTACCACTACACCATGAGCTCACTATTAAAAACAAACAACAAATTTTAAAAAACAGCCGTCATATCTTATCAAACGAGTTTGTCTTAGTAAGTGGAATGCAGCCTGATAACTTTATCTTAAGTTCTTTTACAGTATATCATAAGTATCCAGGTTAACTTCCTTTTACTAATGTTTTGAATCAGCTCCCTTTGCTCAGCTTCATATTCCAGGAAATGTAGTGATGGGGTTTGGTGTGTTTTCAATTTCTCTAGTCAACTTCATTTGGCCAATAGCAGTTTTTCCCCTTTCAGGGCCCTATGAGGGTTTTCTGTGAGCAAGCCCTCTATCGGTTGCCCACAGAAAACCCTCATGGGTAAGTTGTGAACTGCCGTTTTTCTTTTGACTAGTGATTTGAGTTACTGACCTTTAAAAAAAAAAAAAATTAAAAAAAAAATTATATGTATATATATATATATATATATATATATATATATATATATATATTAAAAACATAAAAACAATATTATTTTTTATTTTCTCTGTGTCATGGTCCGGGGTCTGTGATCCAGTGAGTTGAATTGTTTATTATTTATTTGCCACATTATTGCTGTCGGTGTGTTGGTTTTGAATTTCTAGGTCCTAGGTTTTGGTCCCTTTGCCCCCTCATGTTACTCTGTGCTCCCTCTGTTCTGTGCCTAGTCTACCCTGCCTGTGTGTTCCTTCTGTTCCAGTGTAGTCAGGTCTCTGTACAAAGTCCATGTCTCTGAGTCTGTCTCTTTGCATGTGTGTTCAGTTTCCTGTTTTATTGTGAAGGTCTGTGTCTTATGTTAGTGTGTGTTGTTTCCTTCTGCTTGTTGCTGGTTCGTCTGTATTGTCTCCGCGAGTCTCCCTGTTTCATCTGCGTTCCTTCCTGTGTTCCTCTGCATGTCATCCCGTGAGTTTTGGCTTCAGTTTCATTTGTTAGGTTTTTCCAGTTTAGGTTATTTCTTAGTTCCTTTCCATGCCATCTCCACTTTTGCCAGTAGTTTCTTCACTCATAATTAAAAGTTCACTCATCCCATCAATGTCAGTGCCTGCATCTTGGGTCCTGATTTTCACACCCCACACGGCTTGCCCTGGCAAACCGTGAAACTGTAAATGTTAGATTGCCTAAATACCCCCCTGTCTGCTAGATGATGCAACAACACTAGCAACTGTCAGTACGATTTAATCAGCAGCCACATCCATTAACATTCGCTCCCCCCCGAATGATCTATGGTTTGCCAGGTTTTACTTTTGTGGCCTGGAAAATAGGCCCCAGAACCCTGAAATGATGTTAGTACTCATTCACAAGTTTTACCTTTACTTTTAAGAAAAGAACCCAAAAGAAGGAACATTCATAAAATTAACTTTAATTGCAGATAAGCTTTTTTAATTAAGCAACTTTAGCTGGAGTTTCCCCTCTTTAACCCTGCCATCAGCCCACATGACATTCACATTGTCCCAAAGATAAGCCACACCCTTTTGTTCTCTCTATAACCTTTCAGACAGATTAACTAAAGAAAAGTTCAATCATTCATTAAAATGGTTACATTTTCTCATACATATACTGTATTTCGTTGTACATTTATATGACATGAATGAATATGTTCTTCATCATGTCTCATTCAGTTTATATGCTGTTTTACTTCAACATGATTTCTCAATAGCTCAATCACATATAAACATACTTCTTCTCTTTATGACTGTGTTATGACTGTGTCTTTGACAATCTTACACACTCACTCACAAAGAAAGAGCCAAGGATGCACTATAGTCATAACAATGCTCCCACAATCTAGGTGAAAAAGCAAGGCATCAAAATTATTTCATTACTCAAACAACATAATCTTACTCCTCATATTGATTAGATTTATTCTTGATTATACTATGATTAGAATTAAGCATGATTAACTATTAGCAAAAACACAAGTAAATAAACTCAGTTTTAACACTTTTCCGTTACAAAGGCCGAATGTTGCGTCCTTCTATTCACTTTTTGGGTAAAGATAAGCTGGGGGATTTCAATCTTTCAATCAATTTTTTTGGCTGCTCTTCTTTTTTTTTCAATTTTATTTCCCCCTTCAACTTTGGCCAGGATTTCAACTTGCTCCTCCAGGCCAACAATTTTCCCGACCAGCCTGGAAGCAAGCAAGTCACCATGACTCTCAGCAGCTTTAGCATGAGTCTCAGCAGCTGTACGAGCAACCAACCAATCAACTGGAAGGCATGAGAAATTAAGCAGTACCAAAAAATAACCTTGAGAAGCCACTGTGCAATAAAGATCAGTCCTTCTGGGGTGACTTTGCTGATGGGGAGATCAACTGTGGACAACAAACACAAGCAATGACATTTAATATAATAATCCTTTATTGTGTGTTTATTAATAGCTTTCCTATAAAGCACATCGCACTATGATTTGAATTGAATCAATTATTTATTGGGAATAATCATCTGAATGCGAGTCTGGTAGGTCCGATCAGCAGGTGGAGTGAAACACCAAGATTTTTCTTTAGTTTTACATTGAACAGAACATCTTACTATAGATCAGTTTCTACATTTAATATTACTTTTTTTGTTGTTTGCTTATGATTTGTTTTGAGACTCATTCTTACATCCTCACCCCCTGCTGACGTTCACCCGCACCAGTTTGAATATCGAGCATAAAGAGGATGCAGTCATCACAGCTCTCCATCAGCTCTTACAAAACTAGACCAGAAAAAACATCCAAGTGAGAATGTTGTTTGTAGATTTGAGCCTAACCCAACAATCTGGGCTCAGTCAATTTGCTGTGCATTGGGATACTGGGTTTGAATCTTGAATCTTTTCTTTTTATAAAAAAGTAAGGCTCCAAAACAGCAAAGAAAATTCAGTACTGCAGCAACAGGCCTAAATGAATGTTAAAGGCTGTGGGGACACAGTCCTTCCTCTGCCAGTCACAATAGCAGTGCTATTTCTGAAATGTCTAAATTACACTTTTGTGCAGAAGGAACAAGTCTTCCATCTTTACATACAGCCTATGCTTTGTTGGTGCTATCTAAGCATCTGCTCCCCAGAGCCTGGTGAGTGTAAATGGTAGGTGAAGGGCAATGCCACTTTTTGAGCATGTCTAAAATTAAAACTTCATTGTAGTTTTCTAGTCACTGGCCCATCAGAAAAAAACATCCTTACCTTGAATTTCATTAGCCTTCAGGAATTGTAAAATGTACTGTAGTACTGCATTTAGATGATTAGCCACACTTTCAGCAACCACACCTATAACCTGAAGGAAATCCTGAAAGGTGGGGAAACAGGGGTTAATAGAAGTAAAAAGAAAAAAAGAAGGGGGTGGACAGATGGAGACATGGTAAGTAACAGCCTAGATTTACCTCATTTATACCTCATATTGCTTGCATTTACTCAGTGTATCAAACAGCATCTACTCATGTGAATTGTCAGTTTGATCTTGTTAGACATATACAGTAACTGTGGGCCAAAACAAACACACAGTTATCTATGAAGAGGGGTTACTGATATTCCATTTAGGAATGTCCATAGTCATTAAATCTATATATGCACACCATGCAGTGGGGTCACAGTTTGCCTCTGCTTTTTTCCACTGAGACACTGATAAAACAGGAATGGAAATTTCTTAAAAACCATGTTGTCTTTTCACATCTTTATATAAACTGGTGATTTTGGCAAAGTATAATTTTTTCTCTCCAGCACACATTATGTTTGCAGTGTTCCATTTACAACTGTAAATTACATCTACACATTACTCTACTTTTCACTCCCTTCAGCCAACATGGCCCTGCTCAGTGCCACTGAGTCACATGACTCCAGGTAAGCTAAACATGTAGGAGTAGGAGTCAGAGCAAAGTGAGAAAACCCTGCCTGAATGATGGCCCTTTGTTTGTTTAAAAAAGTGTGCGGGCTTAATGTCGACATTGATAAACTTTTATTATCCTTACTTTTTTTCCCCTCAATTTTATTATCCTTACTAATCCAAAATAAACTGGATGAATGACTCAATCAATTGAAAAACAATCCAAGGCCTTTTTGTTTCCATTCTTGGACCCAAACAGCAACATTCAGAAGCAAAAGGTAAACTAGAAGGCAGCTGTATTGCTCAGTAAAGTAACAATGCAGGTCAAAACAACAAAATTTTAAACTATAACTCTTCTTAGAAAAGCACACGAGGGACACAGTACATGTCAAAGTGCAAGTGAACACTCTGCTGAAGTTGCTTATTAGCACAAAGCACCAGAGACAAAAGACGGCCAAAATAAAACAGGAAGAAGCAACACGCTGGAACAGACACGAAGAGGGAAAGATAAACAAACACGGAGACAAATCAAAACTTGATTCTCAGAATAAAGAATTAAAAACAAAAATAATTCCAACTACAATGAGAAAAAAAGAATACAGAATCATAGCCTGAAGAAAAACTATACTAAATGAATGAATGAATGAATAAATAAATAAATGAATGAATATATAGAGATAGTTTTTCTTTAAGATAGATAGATATAGATAGATAGCAGCTACCTTCTCCACCGACAGCAAAGTCTGCTCCCCTACTAGCCTGCCCAGGTAGGTCCTTCCCTGCCAGGCCAAATCAGCCACGGTTGCCCGAATCTCCCGCATCTTCTGGGGTCGACCCTCAAACTCTGTTGCTTCCAAAACTGCAAGCAGGAAGAAAACCAACGCAAAAAGTCTGCTAAAATGCCCTCGTAGGCAACAGAAGAACATTGTCGATATTGGCTTTATTGCTGACAGCTAGTAAATAAAATACACCTCTTAACAAAAAAGTATGCGATGCGCCACACTGACATTAAAGCACCGTTCTGACTGTAAAGCACTTTGAGGTACAACACAGGTGTTTGGAAACCCTCCTCCTAACTGTAAAAAAAACCTCTGAATGCCCGCCTCTTTTTTATCTTCATTTTCCATGACTGTAATCACCTAACGTTTATTCAACCAATTTGAGTTAAGAGAGATATCTGCCATCTGCTGGACCGAGTCTGAAACTTCCTTTTGTTTCTCTTACACACACACACACACACACACACACACACACACACACACACA